GTAGGATCGACTAAGCTTTACATGCTCTCGTTCCGGCCTCTTTTTCTGCGAACACTTGGTTTTATAAAATGTACATCGTGAACCGATGACACGGAACTTTGGAAAACCATCCGAGAAAGCAAGTGCACGAGCGCAAGGACATCGATATTCCACTCGCGAAAACTGCCCCGGCGAACTCAACCCAATTCCTTGCGGAGAAAGTTACGTAAAAGACAAATATATTTCCCTCGCGGGAGCTCATCGCGGATCCACCTTGACGCAATGAAATTAAGCGTGTCAGTCGAGCCACAGGGACCATATATTAATCTTCCAGCTAAGGGCAAAATCTATGGTATGCCACCCGAGAAAGTAAGTAATGAGTTGGAGCGTCAGAATTTTACACTTGATCCGCATCGACTTGTCGGGTCACACTCAAATGAGTACCATCGATGCGTGTTTCATTCCACATGAGTATAATTCTGGAACGCGGAGTGCTCTATATGTGCGCGTGACATGCATTTTGGATGTACACGAGACGGATGACCCGTATTCGAGAGATGCGCCACGCGAATGCTAATGCACAGACAACCGAAAGCCGTGCAGTTACACGAGTTCGTGTTTTGCCAAAAGAAAAAATTGTCATCATCTGTGCCAAATGGTCCTTTAATTCCAGAGGCATCGCCAAGTACCCATAACAATGAGAAACATCTAAACATTAATGAAACAAAAAAAGTAAATATAGCTACAACCACGAAGAGGAGGAGGGAAGAAAAAAAACACAAGCCAGGTACAAAAATACAGCTGGCAGCTGGACAATGACCCGTCCGACGGTCAAGGTGAAAAGCACACGTGCAACTATAGCTTTCGGGCTAGGCTCGCGCTCGTTTCTCCTTTTCACCCCACCCCCATCACAGACTGTTGTCGCGATGTTTATCAGTTTGTACGGCTTTTGCAGTCGTTAGTGCTGCAACTCATGTTTCTTTTTATTTTTTTTTTTTTTTACGCGCAGCAAGTCCCACGCGGCGTTTCGATTGACGCGAACGAGTGGGTGCCACGTGACAAAAGGATGCAGAGGCGCGCGAGAGAAAAGATAGCGCGTGGGCCTGAAAAATGTATCGGTCACGATCGACGATACGGTGGAGTAATGTTTTTTTTTTTTTTTTATTTTTTTTACTCCTTTTAGCTGTGTCGCTGTACCTCCTCAACTTTAGCCTCTCAAAAGAGATTATGTGATTACAATGTAAAGCGAAGATCGGTAATACACCACACGTATACAATTGGCTCGTTCATCGTGTGCTCCGACAAGAGATCGGATCTCTGCGAATGAGCTTCTTACTCGATCGATGTGCCATGACCATACTCATCGTGCTTCTTTTTATGAAGACTGTGGTATATTTTTTAAGCATCCAAAGTTTGATTTACAACCCCGAAGATTCGGATAAGGTAATCGCCGTCGATGCAAATTGAAACAAACTGCCTGCATATGATGGATGTGAAACAATGAGCGCGGGGATGAATAATATTTCATCGAACGTCGTATTGGTCTTTAATAAACCTCATGATCGCTATCTCGAAACAAACATCAGATTATCAAGCCATTATGAGTCGCTTCGAGTGTTTTTTTTTTTTTACTCAACGTGTATACCTTCGAAAAAAATACACCTACTCGCGTTACGTGTGCGCACAAAAGTTTACTTTAAAACTTTGGACAAAAATCGCCACCTCGATGTGTTCTCGCAGCGAATCGACGACAGAGCTATTTTTACGGCTATACTCCACCCAACAGCATACACGTACGAGAGCAATAATTAAACATTCCGATCGCGTCGGCATCCTTCTTTCCGGTAGCGCTGGCGAAAAAACTGCACTCGGCGTGTATAGGTACATATCTATAAGTACTCACTAACGCGTATACGTGCATATATATATCTTCAACTCTCCCAAGTGCCCGCGTAACCGTGATAAAAAAAACTGGTTTTCGCATGGCCCGTGCCGAGTTTGCAGGCTCTGAAGCAATGATCAAGGATTCAGGCTCGGCTCGGATAATGAATAAAGCACACGCAAGCTCACTCGGAGAGGATGAAATTTTCGGGATTACCCTCCACCCCCGGGGGATTACGGCAAGTTCTTTCCTGTCTTTCTTCCGAAAGACTCGGAAGCTATAAATTGATTATTGCACGATGGATTGTCTGAAAATTACAACTACGCGTTTTTGACGGCAATTTCCAATGCATGAAAAAGGAATATATATAGAATGGTACTTTGTGGATGAAATTTAACGAGTGGGTATTATACGTGTGTACAAATTCATAGCTGAAATCCGTGATATTTTCAAACACAAGCGATTAGCATCTCATGAATAAGTACTTGTAAGGCTTCGACCCAATTAAATGATAAAAAAATCTACGGATGATAGACCATACTTGATTCTTTTATACATGTATACATATTTTTTTTTTTTTTTTTTTTTATACATGTATAAAAAGGCCGGCACAATTGAGCTTTGATCGAGACGCAATCTCCAACGCTTTCCAACACCGTATGGGTTTTTCCAGATTGACGCGCCAACAACAAGCAACTTCAGCGCGCGGTATGCGCCTATCCTACACAAGTATTGCGCAAAATCTGCATCTTTCTCTCATGTATAAAACTATACTAACATTACTGGCTCTTTCGGTCGTTTTACTTTGGCCACACAGACGACGACGATTTGAGAAGAGGTTGATTTTTCGACAAAGCTCCGGGCTTCGTTTAACGCCAGAAAAACATTTTCATTGTGATATTTATCGAGGCTTTGGTCATCATATTCTTACGATATGACTTGCCTCTCGTTTCGGGGGAGCAACAAAAAAAAAAAAAAAAAAGAAAAAAATCGGAGCATAACGGAGAGAAAGAGAGGGACAAAAAATGCATGAGACGAAGAATATCGCCTGCAGCCAATGTCCGACGTTTCGACACCCAACTATATACTGGAGATGGTACGAGCGAAAGGGATGGGGCTTGGATATTTCGTGCCGTACCCGTCGATCACGAAAATAAACTAAAACGCGCGGTTACATCGAAAAGAGCGTGTCGTTGCGAAATGCCGCTGAATTTCATGGGGAAGTATACAAAACACTTGTACCTATACAACTGTACATCCTAATTACTCGTCGACTGCTAAACATCTAATCTACAGTATACATAAGAGTTTTGAATAAACTGCTTATCGCGAACTACAAGTGCATCAATTGTTAACGGTTGCATTGCGTATGGATAACGCGAATTTTCGGCCACTCGGAGTATATGCAGCTACAAAAAAAAAAAAAAAAAAAAAAAACGAAGAAAAGCTCATGATGTACGTGTACATGTTGTTTTCTTTGCAAAACACATCGGGGCCGTACGAAGTTTCCACGCGTTACCGGTCGGTGGAGAAAAATCCTGAAAAATCAGGAAATAAAATGTACCANAAAATTACAAATGTTTCTAAGGGAATTACAAAATGAATTTTTAAAAATATCCGTTGCTATTTTAGAAACTATGGATATTTTAATTGAGTCAGAATTTATTTACTAACACACAGAATTTAATGACCGATTGACATTTGAGTATCAAATTACTTTTCTATGATAAAATTCAAACGTAGTATAATCTTATTCTTCGTGCCAATTGCATTCCAAAATCCAAAGTAGAAGCGAAATCTCCCAAAAAATTTCTACTCAAGCCTCTCATGCTGGTTGGTATAATAAAAACAAGAAAAAATTCAACTTCTAGCAAGGCAATGTAGTGCAAGAATAAAAAATCTTCATAGCGTTTTTACCACTCATTTTGCCCATCTCTTTCTTTTTACACGCTCGACGTGCCGTAGTACCTAGTACATATTCTATGCCCATAGTGACCCAGTCGAGTGATTTCGCGAAAGCGTGACATTGCACGCACGGAGGCACGAACGTGCAATACTTTTATTTATCGTGCTTACAGATGCAGTTGATGGATTAAAAAAAAAAAAAGATTCAAGGTTTTCTTTCGTTCTGGGATAGAGGAGGGAGAGAAAAGTATAACGGAAGGGAGGGTTCGTACGCGTGTTTTTCACAAGGTGAACTTCCTTTCCCGGCGCGCCGAAAACGACATACCGGCTTGCTCTTTGTGCGATTGTGGTGCACGATCGGCAACAAAGTATGGGGGGAAAAAAAAACAAAAATTCAATCGATTTAAATACACGAGATACTTATGTACCATGTAAACACTCATGTTTTGTGTGTGTGTGTGTGTGTGTGTGTGTGTATCTGTTGTGGAAAAAGGCACATTGTTCCATGTAATGAGCGATTTTCCAATCGTTGCATCGCAGAAATCCCAACGCAGTGCAGTTGAGGTGTATTTTTATTTGCATATTTACTGATGGTTGCGAATTGTTTGTATGTCCTTATGTCCTCTTTTTTAAAGAATCGTAACAGAAAGGATAATCTGAATTAAAAGGTTAAATTAAAATATTTATCCTGCGTTCAAAGTTCTGGTGTCAATGAAAGGCCCCACGGACAGTGATATCAAAGGCTCTTTTCTTTCCGGTACCTACACCCAGCCTTCGTCTCTTTTTACGTTTTGGAAAAAAAAAAAAAAAAAAACGAAGAAAAGCTCATGATGTACGTGTACATGTTGTTTTCTTTGCAAAACACATCGGGGCCGTACGAAGTTTCCACGCGTTACCGGTCGGTGGAGAAAAATCCTGAAAAATCAGGAAATAAAATGTACCAGCCACCGAGAAGATGACCAGATGTCGTAGAGGGCAGCAGCGGACGGAAAGCGCGTGGCAGTGAAAGTGCCGGGGCCTGTATCCCAAGAGGGTGGAGGGGGGCCTTATGCCCAAGGAGGCACGCATGAGACGCGGTGCTCGAGACTCGGGGGGCCCCCACGAGTCTGGGAGACAGACTGGGGAGATTTTGCAGAACAGAAGGCGGGAGGAGGAGAGCACCGGTGCGCATATAGAGGGGTCGAGAGGGTGCGGCTTGTTTCAGACGCTCACGCGACGGTGAACGACGACGATCATGTCGCCGAGGTTGCTCTGTCTAGGGATCGTTTGCCTGCTCCTCCTGACCGGTGAGTTGGTTACTTTTATTATTTTTTTTTTTTTCTTCTACATCATGATTAATTATGTTGTAGTTATTGTTGTTATTGTTGTTGTTGGTGATGGGTTTGTGAGAGTGCGTTCGTTGATGGGGATACCGATTTTTGCCGGTCGCGCGATGTTAAACTTTGGTTTTGTTGGATGATGCGTTGCGTTATTTTACACTTTTGAGGAGAAAACCCACTGCAAGTGATTTCGATCAAAAGCTCCCCTGGCGTCGCCATAATTTATACGTTAAATTCAATTGTTCACATTATAGCCGTGAGAGATTAATAAAAAAATTTTTTTTAATTTTTTTAAATGGTCTACCATTACATCCAAACCTCACGTAACTTCTAAGTCGGGCAGCATTAATTTCATTGAGCTTGGACAAGTTTTCCAAAGCTAACTCATGCCATTATCGAATTTGTTGCGACGAAAACGAAAAAGCCAAAGGAGGAAGAAAAAAAAGAGGTGAAAACCGGTATCACAAGCCGGGAGGTGCCGAACATTCGACGCGCCCGTGTATTCCCCGTCCAGCGCGTTTCAAGGCCCATCAAAAGATATAAAAAGGATACAGACGCGCTTACGTGGACAAGAATCGTTGAAATTCATGCATCCGCGGGAGAGTTTCGTTTGCATCACTAAAACTCATTGTGTTTTAAAAGCAAAAAGAAAAAAAAAAAAAATCCGATCGGTATAGGCTTGGAAAACCAGACAGACCGTTTGTAGTGTATAGCTTTCCCTCGGCGACCCATAGGCTTGCCCTGACGTTTCTCGGCGCGCGCGACTTTCTACTTCGGCCCGGTGGGTTCGCTGACCCCCTCCTTTTGTCCTCTCGGGTGGAAAAATCTCTCCACCTCCTGTTTTTGGTCACAAACGTCGTTCCAGCTGCACGTACGCGCACACGCGTGCATGCACCTACGCGCTTTCGCGGCGTCGAGGTTGTTCCTTTCTTTGAAAATCCAGACCGGAATACATACGATACACGATCGGCATTGAGAACAAACTGGTTGTTTTCGTACTCGCAAACGCAAGATCGATGGCGCTGTTTGCGCTTATCTGTACAACAGTTTGACTCCCCCCTTTTAGATTTCCAAGCTCCAATATTTCCCCGGAAATACAAATTGTTATGATTTTTCTGTATAAAAATCATGACAAAACAACCCCACGAGCTCCGCTCGGTAATGAGATGCCAGAATCTCGAAGTTGTATTTTTATGAAGCCCCACCCTTCCTCCCCCTCCTACCCAAGAGAGAGAGAGAGAGAGAGATACGTATCTCTAACCTGTTCTCCAAACCTGACAATTACAGCTCCGAACCACACTCGCAACGAAGCACAATAGATCCCTCGCTCGGATAAACGCTGCTTTCTAGGAACTCAATTTTTAACAGATGAACAATAGCTGCTGGAATATTTATTATTGTATAACCCAGGCGCCTGACACCTTCGGTAATAAACGCGTAACACCTCCCCCTCCCTCGGCCCTCCTTTTGCGATCTGATAGCCAAATGGTGTCGAAATCTCTGAATCGTCTGAAAAGTCCGGACTACATTACAATGTACACCTTGGAGCCGATGATTGCAGTGGTGGCACTGCAAACCGCAGGGTCCCTATCGACTGCATAATCGGGTGACGCAACCGATCTCTCGGTAACAGAGCGAAACCAGAGTGAAAACTGAAAGAGAGTGAAACAGCAACAAAATAAAAAAAAAATAAATAAAATAAAAGGATCATACATCGGCGATGGATCGAAATTCGGGGACGATTTGTGTGGTTGAATCTGTTTGGGTTTTGTTGCAGGAGCGGTGCGAGCACAAGACGAGGAAGGCGATGGTATCGACGCCAATGCCGACGAGCTATGCCAAGATAGGCCGGGAGACGAGTACTTTCGGCTGACCACCGATGGTGACTGCCGCGACGTCGTCAGGTAAGCTTTGCCCTTGACGATCCGTATATCCTTGGGGCTCTTTTTGACTTTACGACACCATGTACTACCGATCCTGGGGTGCGTACAATCAGTAGATTGGGATCGAAGAGCGTTGTTTTGCTCATTGAAACTGTACAAACGAGAGCATCCGATCTTTCTCTCTCTCTCGTTGGATTTCACTTTCCGATCGGCTCTACGTGCAATTTCACCTCGCGGCCTGTAACTCGCTTCAAACGAAAAAGAAAGTATTTCGCCCCAAGGGGGGAATCGGGTTGGGGTATAATAAATCGACCATGGGCTCTCATTTGCGCCTCGGCGCCGCGATATGGGTCAATTTTGTGCATGTATACACACATGTGTTACGTGTGTGCAGAAGAGTCCTCGGCGATCGGATGAAATCGGAGACTCGGGCGAAAGAAAGTTCACCGCGATCTTTAAAAAAATCAACACATTTCACTTCGCAGTGGCTCGTTAACGGAGCGCATCCGATGGGGAATCGTGTACGGTGCTAATTATTATTTTATTACTTCGAAAACGAGTCATCGGTGACACGTACCTTTTTTTTCTTTTTTTTTTTCCTAAAGAAACTTTCAGAGAGAAAAACATACATGGGATCTATAAATGACGGGGGGCCTTCGATCCTACGCCGCTCAAACAGGTTTTTGGTTTCTCTGGCGAGACGGAGAAAGGAGTCGCCTCGGTATACACGGCACAATCGTTACGTAGTGCCGATTTTTTTTTTTTTTTTTTTTTTTTGTGCATGGTAAAAGGTATGCTCGAGGCTCCATTGTTTTGAGCGATATGCCACTTTTTTCTCGGAGCTCATGTGTGAGTACCCGTACACCCTCTTGTATATATTTATCTTCAAAGTCGATTACACGTAGGCTCGTTGAAACCTATGACGTTGTGGTTCAGTAACCGATGAGAAAAAAAAAAAAAAAAAAAAGTTAGGGAGCGGATGCGAGGCGTTTTGTTGTGACTGACGCGTCCGATGATATACTTAGTCTATACGATCGAGGAACGGAAATCAATAACGGATAGGACGCGTCTCGCATAATTTTTTTGACGCTTGCATCCTATCACACTACTGGGGGTATGGATGTTTGAGTATTGTGGTGTGGGGAAAAAAAAAAAAAAAAAAAAAAGAAGAAGAATAAGAAAGAAAGGTAAGGTATAAGGGACGATTAACAAACAAAGCGAAATGTGTTGACGGAAATATAGGTGCGACAAAGCCACCGAGATAGGTGTGACGAGGCTTGCCACGGTGAGGTGTCCCACGGGCTTGGCCTTTGACATCGAACGCCAGACCTGCGACTGGAAGACCAACGTCAGGAACTGCGACCAACTCGAGAGTAAGCAATAGTCTCATCCCGACAGAGCAATAATACTTACCCTCTCCCCCCCCCTCTCTCTTTTGAAAGTATACCTATACGCGTCGAGAGGCAGAGCACGAGAGAGACACGGCGATGGTGTATAGACAAGTCACACGAGCAAAAATGACCAAAGCCTGATTAAAAAGCAAAAAAAAAAAATTTTTGTTTCCAACTAAGAGAGAAAGTAAAGTTGTAGCCCTTTTGCCTATTGTTCTGCCCCTCAGGTGCACAAGGTCCGGACTGAAGCAAATCACGTGTCCCATCGGATTGGCCTTTGATTTGGAGAAACAAACCTGCGACTGGAAGGGCAAGGTCACCAACTGTGACAAGCTCGAGAGTAAGTGGCGCACGGGGAAATTTTTGCAATGTAGTCATGCATTTTTTAACGCGGACGAGATTTTTTTCTTTCTTTTTTTTTGTCTCCTTCGACACCGAGTCCTCGAGGCCCTGGTGAACGATCTTGAGCTTTTTGATTTTTCAGAGTTTTTTCAGCCAACAAGAGATAAACGAAAGAACAAAAAGCAAAAACGATCGCGAAGGGAACTCGAGCACCTGGTCTTTTTACATGTATGTATACCGTAGACTCGCGCCGTAGCACGCAAATCGACAACTAACCTTCATCAATTCATCCTTGCGGTCTGCGGATGTGAGGAAAAAAAAAAAACACGAAATTGCAATTTCTCATTCTTCCGAGTCCTTGGATGAATCAACGAAAAAAAAAAGAAAAGAAAAATTAACGAGAAACTGCAATTTCGTGTTGCTTTCGAGTTACGTCTTTCACTTCACTCACGCCAACTCGCTTCTTCCACACTTTTCATGCTTCAAATTCGCACGTAATCTAACACGCTTTTATCTGCCTCTCTTTTGTGGTCATGGAGGAAGAAAAAAAAACGCAGCCTGATATGGACTTATATACTAACAGTCGAGCTCTTGATTGCTCCAACTTAAGTTTCACTTTTATTTTCATTAACAGCTTTTTTTTTAATTTCCCTTCACTTTGTTATCTGTAACAATTAGTTACCACATTATAACATTTAAAAAAAAAAAAAAAAAAAAAAAAAAACAATGTTTCGTTGAATTCAAAAGGCAGATTTCTAATAGTTAACGTATAAATAAAAAAATTTGGTTTTTCAATTTCTGAATGTCTCGTGTGTTTATTTGTATTGCTTCAAGGTTTAATTTTCTCTCAACTCTGTGCGATTGATTTTACTTCTACAATCAATACATAACTTTGTTACACGTGTATTGTCTTTCGTTTCTTTTCTCATCTTAAAACAACTGCCTAATATTTTATTCTATTCACTGCCCATTCCATTTTAATAGTCTGTGATTGTCTTTATTTCTGTCACATTAATTCGAACGCAATAAAAATGTGCAAACAAGTATTGCGTTCGCTCTGAGAAAGAATTTCGCGTGCGCCGACGACGAGAAACATGTAAATGTTTATTATTAAAAAATTCCTTGGAGCGTCCCAAAACGTTTTTATAATTTAAATTTAAAAAAAGTTTTTTTAACGCTAAATGACCTGACTAGTTTTTGCTGGACAAAAGATACGAACGCCGTACTGATTACACAAAAATCTCAACTTTAAATGGACTTGGACAAAAAAAGAGCGACGATCGAGGCTACGAATATTATTTTTATATGACTTTTGTGCACACTGGGGAGGAGCTATATTTATGAAATGTGATTTTGACGTTTAAGTCAAAGTAAGGTGCAATATAATGTAAATATACATCAACCTGCCATCATTCAAAAGGAGTAAGGATACAAACCACTATTATACTGAGAGAATCAGAGAATAAAAATCTCTATTCCGAAACCATGTATTGGTGGTGGTGGTAGTACCACTAGTTAATAGTATTAAAACAATAAAATTTATTATTTATTTTCCTCAGAGTGGATCGTGCAGAGGAAAAGCTTGTAAATTTATTAATACGAAACAGTAGAGCAATTGTAAAAAGGCTATGTATGATATAATTGGTACTTACATGATACACCTTCAGCTCGACCGAGTGATTTTGTTTGAACGAAGAACGCCCGAGTCCAGAGCAAGACTCTGCAAGTATGTGCATGGAAAAAAAAAGAAAAAAAATATCTAGTTCAACCAATTTGAGACTTGGATGGAGTTTAGATCTTTTCTCTTACAGAGAACAAAGAATCGAGTGAAAACAGGCCATTATTTTCTAGAAAAGCGATAGCAATGGTGTAAAACTCATCAGTGTCCTTGTTTCCACTCGATTGAATTTCAAGATCATGCATGCACTTATACAGTCTTGCCCCGTGACAAAAGTGTGTCTCTCGTCTCTCGCTTGTCCCACATCGCATATTACACTTGCATTGTTGTACGTACGATAATAATCGAGCCGCGTGCTCTCCCGACTCGTCGTGTTATTCCAGAGCCGCGCAAAGTCTTGCCGATCCTCAAGACCGACGAGCCCGTCTGTGCGGAGGGCAAATTGTCCTGCGGCAATGGCGAGTGCGTCGAGAAGGAGCTCTTCTGCAACGGCAAGCACGACTGCAAAGACGAGTCCGACGAGAACGCATGCAGTGAGTACCGATTGTGTATTGTACTGAAGTGTGTATTGTTCAGAAGGAAAAAGCCTCACGGTCTAAAAATAATTCCAGCCGTGGAGACGGACCCGAACCGCGCACCCGACTGCGACCCGACCCAGTGCGTGCTACCCGATTGCCATTGCTCGGCCGACGGTACGCGCGTCCCGGGTGGTCTTGAGCCAAGCCAGGTGCCCCAGATGATAACGATCACGTTCAACGGTGCCGTGAACATCGACAACATCGACCTCTACGAGGAGATATTCAACGGCCACCGCATGAATCCCAACGGGTGCCAGATCAAGGGCACCTTCTTCGTCTCGCACAAGTACACGAATTACTCGGCCGTCCAGGATTTGCATCGAAAGGGTCACGAGATAGCCGTGTTCTCGCTTACGCACAAGGACGATCCGCAGTACTGGACGCAAGGCTCATACGACGACTGGCTGGCCGAGATGGCCGGGGCAAGGCTGATCATAGAGAGGTTCGCCAACATAACCGACAGCTCGATCATCGGGGTGAGGGCGCCTTATCTCAGAGTTGGCGGTAACAAGCAGTTCGAGATGATGGCCGATCAGTTCTTCAACTACGACGCCTCCATCACCGCGTCGCTCGGCCGAGTGCCCATCTGGCCGTACACCCTCTACTTCCGCATGCCCCACAAGTGCAACGGCAACAGCGGCAACTGTCCCTCCAGGTGAGCGATGCGCGCAAGTATACTTTAATTATACTGAGTACAAATCTACGGCACTTGCAAAAAAATTGTCAAAAATGTTCCAACTGTGAACTCAAAATGCAAAATCACGAGATGACCCGTGTATATTTTATAAAAAAAAAAAAATTTCTTACAGGTCACATCCAGTCTGGGAGCTAGTGATGAACGAGCTGGACCGTAGGGACGACCCAACCTTCGACGAGTCACTCCCGGGTTGTCACATGGTCGACTCGTGCTCCAACATCCAGACGGGCGATCAGTTTGCTCGCCTGCTACGTCACAACTTCAACCGACACGTCAGCACGAACCGCGCGCCCCTTGGCCTCCACTTCCACGCATCGTGGCTCAAGAGCAAGAAGGAGTTCAAGGACGAGCTCATCAAGTTCATCGACGAGACCGTGCAGCGCTCCGACACCTACTTCGTGACGATGGTGCAGGTGAGTGACAAAGAAGATTAAACAAACTGTCGTTGTACTTGCACAAGTGCACGAGTGTTAATTCTTCGTGTGTACCTGTGCTTGGGTGTGTAGGTGCTGAAATGGATGCAAGAGCCAACCGAGTTGGCGGGTCTCCGTGACTTTGACGCCTGGAAGGAAAAGTGCGACGAGAAGGGCCAGCCCTACTGTTCCCTGCCAAACGCTTGCCCGCTGACCACTCGGGAGCTCCCCGGCGAGACTCTGCGTCTCTTCACCTGCATGGAGTGTCCCAACAACTACCCTTGGCTCCTCGACCCCACCGGTGACGGTTTCGCCACCAAGAAATGAGCTGTTGTAGTGTCGCTCTTACATGCACTGCGCCACCCGAAAATACCAGTATAAGTACTTGATAAATAAAAAATTAAAAAATATTATAACAGGGTCGTCGGATGTTTTGCTCTCTCACCGTTTTGTATTCTGTCTCTTTGTCGTTGATACTTGGAAATTTTTTCCCAACTGCGCGACGACCTATTCCCCCCTTTTTCTTATTTTGAACAAAAAGTGCGGCTCGCTTATACACTACTTGGCCCAAAAGCTTCGATGTAACGATGACTGTTGTAAGCGTATATTGTTATTCGGACTGAAAGCACTGGAAGGAGCTGTCAAACGAGCAATATCCGCCTTTTTTAGGTTGTGCTTGTCGATATTGAACTTTATAAGTCTTTGCGGTTGCGTTTTTTTTTTTTTTTTTTTTTTTTTTTAAGTGCTCATGGTTCGTTCGTTTTGGTTCTTGTTGAAGCCAATGTCAAAAAAAAAAAAAAAAACACGAATCGTTAGGTTCAATTGGCGCTTCTGTAACGAACCGATTTTAACAGTGGGCTACAAAAAAAAAAAAATCGCAACCGATATCTCATTGTATCTACTTTTGTATAAATTTCTGGCGTTTATACATGACTTTTTTTCTACCGATGCATAAACATGAAAATTCTCTCATTTACGATTTACGCGCTTAGATCTGTAAGATATAAGATTTATTACTTTTAATTACAGTGTGTGAATATAAAAAAGGAATGAATGAACAAATGTCATTGTGATTTATATTAAGTGTCGCATGTGACGTGTGGCTCTTCAAATTATTGAAAACCAAGTTGAAAAAAAAAGATATTTATTTTAAAACCCTTGGATGTTACTTCATTTATTTACCCTTGAAGTCATAATTTTACGGTAGGAAAATTGTTTGGGAAACGTATTATGATGGATGTACACGTTAATATTGTAATTAAAAGTTAATGATTGCCTTAGTTTTTTTTTGCGCTTTTATTCAAGTCTTGCGAATATATATTTATATATATACAAAGGATTAAAGAATTAAACTAAAGTACATCGTATGATTAAAATTAAACAGAGCCTGCCTATATGCTTAATGATAAAGACAAGTAACGTGTTGTTAATCATTAAATTGTATAACTCAACGATAAATCGTAACTTGCACTTGAGGCGTCATTCATTAATTTTATGCACATACACACCAGCACTAAAGATATTCTGTCGCCCAAAACCAACCCCAAGAGAGACAATCTGAAAGTGCAATAGTTTGAACAAATTTTTTAATAAACAATGTTATTTTTTGTACGTCTCAGTTTTCCTTTGATTACTTACTTATTTTTTATTTTATACTATTAGCACTTTTAACAAACAAATATACACGAAACAAATTTAATTGTCTTTTTCTCGTGTGATTCATAAGATTTCCGAGCCTCTTGGAAAAGTCAACAAAGCGTGTATATTATAACGAAAGGCTAAATTTCGTCGAGGGTAGCAAAACGATTAGTGTCATAAAATTTTTAATTGGCAACGAGGGTCAGTTTTTTATTTTTTATTTATTTTTTTTTCTTTCAAGCACTTTGATATACTTAATTAACCTAAAGAATGACTACGCTCTTTCTTAGGTTTTTACTATTGGTCCTTAAAAACTTTTTTGGAACACGATATTCTCGACATGCGATTCTACAAATTGTACAACTCTCTGGCTTCAAAAGCAGAAATAGGGTTTTATTATAAAATATGCAATCGTTATGTACTTTTTTTCACGAGTTAAGATTAAATGTTAAATCTTACAGTTATTATATCGTTTACTAGATAAAATTATACGTTCTTTGTAAAAAATAAAAAAATTGGTGTAATTTTAAGATCTCTTTTATTGTAAAACTATAGTTTCACGTTTATATCAGTAGAGAGCAAATATTGAACGGTAACATTCATTAAAAGAAAGGCACTAATCTCACATATTTTTTCGACACGCTTCTTCAAATAAAAAAAAGTTCCATAGTGCAACCATCGACGACCAAAGAAAAACGATCGATAACGATTGGTTCAATCAGCTCTGAAATTTGCCATAAATCAATATGATTAATCACTCTGTAAAAAAATAATTTATGATGCGTACTAAAACAATTTTTCTTATCGACTTTTCCAAGACAGAATTTTTTAAGTTCATTATGCCCGCTTTACGTGCAGAGAATGAATAAGTTACTTTCCATCTCGTTGTACCATACATACAACCACGCGTACCTCATTTATTGCTTTTTAAAATTCTTTAATTCCCATTTGTTTGACAGTCGTTTCTCTACTTTCAACAGTTTTCGCGCTGAAAGGTAGATATTATTTATTTTGTATGCTAGATATAAAGATGAATCATTGCTAAAAGATAAAAATTGTCTTTAGATTTATTGTACGTAATAACTAACTAAAAGAGTTTAAAAGCATTTTTTTTCTCGTGTGTTCGCTTCAACAGTACACAAACGTTAATTATAAACAAGTGTTTGGTATCTAGTTTTATAAGAAAAAAATTTTCAACTTATAATTAAAGTAGGTATCGATGAATCATATATTTACACTCGCGCAATAAGCTTTTTCGCTAAAAAAAATTATATTTTTCATTCAAAAACGATCGCATACATCCTATAATCGCCGATTTAAATAATAATACCCATATTTATAAATATCTTTGAATTTGTCTTTCTCCATTTGATACACGTTTTCTTCTTCTTTCACATTTCTGGTATTTACAGCTTATATATATTTATAAGTTCTTTTCGTGCAACTCTAATAAGATCACATTGGCTTACATTGTTCCAATCAACCCTTTATAATAATGTGCTATTTAATTTTCTCTTGTTAAATTGTTCAATCGATTATCTAAACGCTCTTTTCACCAGAAAAATAGAATTCTATAAACTTAAAAAACAGTTTTTCTTCCTCTGTTATAGAATTTTCATTCTTTTTCTGCATCGAGAAAAAATCATCATGAGATAACGATTTTTATTTATTACAAGTTGTAGTAATGTTAATTATAAGAAGAAAATTTAAACAATAGATAGTTGAATTTTCAATAAATTTAATAATAGTAAATTTATTTGAAAACTAAAAATAAGAAATCTCATCAGGCAAATGATATTTCTCTCGAGCATCGAATGGGCACGTCACAAGCAGGAGCGAAAAAAAGAGTCACACCGAGTGAGTAAGTCAAAGGTAGTAGTAACAGGCCAAAATTGGTCTGGCGATGAGCTAAGCAGTGAACTATCGCTTCTCCCCCATGTCCGATCGTATCTTTTTTTCTCCGCAAACTTTTACTTTTACTTTCGAGCAGAGACAATTTGCGAGATCGCGTGGGAGAATTGCTAAAGAGACGTTTAAAGTCATTATTTACCTTTGTAAAAAAATCCCACGTTTTCTACATAAAATTTTTTTTTTATTTCTACATTGTTTCGTGTGAAAAGTAATTTTCTAATGCAGCAATTATTGCATTTGTGCATGCATGATGCATAAAATTCTTATTTATATCCATATTCTTTTTCTTATTCATATATTTTTTTATTAATACGCATTTCAAGGTCTTTTAATTAACTATTTGTACCAGAAAACAAAATTGATTTAAAAAAAATAAAAATAAAAAAAGGAAAGTTTTGATAACTCCGATTAGATTGTAATACAGAATTATTTATTCTTCCATCCCTCTCCTTCTATAAACATACAAAAATATTAAACTCATTTGGCGACTCTTCTTTTGCTCTTCTCGGCGAAAAATGCATCGTCAACAATTATTACTTTTCATTCATTAAAATATTATCGCTTCGTTAACTATGCTTTTACTTCACAATATCATTATCCAATCTTTATCCGTTTTTATTTATATATATACTCTTTTCTTTTGGATATACGTATATATTTATATATAGATATATCAAAAATATCCCTAATAAAATAGAGCATTTATAAATGGAGTACCTGCAGGTACGACTTTGTTTTTCAATTTATTTCTCCGTAGCTATTCATGTCTATAACAATTTTTCGACATTCTTACATTCTCTTTTTTCTCTTTGCTTCAATCTCGTTACACATTCTCAAAATCATCATCGTGCAAGCTATTTGGCTTTTCGATTCAAAACAATAAACATGATGGGAAAAAAAGAAAAAGAAACGGAGGAATGTTGCAAAAGGAAGCAGCTTTCGTACTTTACAAGATACTCAAGCAATTTTTACAAGTTTTTGTTTATGTTTTAATCACCACAAAACAAATTTTAATGTTAGAACTTTATCAGACACTCGTCAATTTTTCAAATTTAAAGCTCTCTCTTAAGTTTTTCCCTACTCCAACAAATAACAATCAATAGAAAATTAAACGCTTTATTCAAAAAACATTATCACAAGGCAATTTCATTCGATAATATAAAAATATTAATGCAATATTAGGGAATAAATTTTCAACACTTATTTCTTCAAATCTTCGATGTTTTTTTATTCCCCCAATTTCGTGCGGCATAAAATTTTCGCAGAAAAAACCATGGCCGCTCGCTAAGCTGTCCTTTTGCTTTTTGTTTCTTGATATGTTCTTTACATCCACTCCGTTCTTTGAATGTTAAATTTTTGATAAGGATAATTTGAAATATATTTCGCACTTACAAAAAGAAAGTATATACAGTGAAAAATAATTGTAAAGGAAAAAAATTTTTTTACATCTGAATTCACCATATACTAAAATTCTACGTTTGTTTCTTGAAATATGTACAATGCAGATATATATGCATATCTATTCATGTATATATACAGTATTATGATGTATAACGTAATAAATAAGCTCAACGCATAAACTTACAATTAATCTTTCTTTCATAGTTTAACGATTATTAAAGTGACGCGCAAGCCTTACGCTTTTCTTCTAAAACAACTACGTCAATGATTTAGGGCAGGGGAAAAGGGATAATAATTACAAAAAATGGTAGTCATATAGTCTCATAATTGTCCCGACGATCGTAATTGTTTTTCCTAACGAGGTGCAATGATTATTGTTCTCCTAAGTAATTCGATCGTTTCTCTAGCAAATTTGCATTGAACGGGAAAAAAAACGTATTTCAAAGTAAAAGATATTATAATTATAGTATTAGTCCTAAAAAATAATTCATTATTATATAAATCGCCGACTCGATCCGAGGAACGTTCTCACGGCAAAATTTTTCGGATGTGCCGACGAGGAAAATTCTTTCTTTAAAGGCGCGTGTCTCCACGTTTGTTTGCGCTTCGTTTCTTGCAAAACAGAAAGTTTCTCGCTTTAAATTACATATCACATCAAAGAGAATCGGGCGTCTCTTCGTTTTTCAATATATTGGCTTTTCATCCTTCATCACTTATTGTTTCTAACAACAGCACGTTTGTAATAACAAAACAAAGGTATGTGTGCTTGTGTGTACACTTTCGTCGCAAAGGTCAATGTCATTGAGCAGCTGAACGAAGAATTTGCAATTCTTTTTACACAGGGTTGAAAAATGTGCGAGTCACCGTGCACCGAGTTTAATTTTTTCAATCGTATACATGTTCGAATATTCCCCAGCTGAACGATTTGTTGATTATACAAAATATTTTTTAAATATCTTTTAGGAAAGGCAGTTTTAAAGCTTTCTCTTTTTTTCCTTTTTCAATATAAAGCTTTCTAATGTGTGATTGAATATACTTATTGAGTTGTCATTATTTGACGAACCTCTAAAATTCTTCGTTCACACTATTCTATTATAAATTAATTCGTTTCTTCGAATCAACTTGTTTTCTTCTTTCAATTTCAACAATATGAAATTAGCGAAAATAAAAAATAAAAAAAAAATAAAAAAAAAATAAAAAACGACGAGAGATGAACTTTTTTTTTTAGAAAAGTCTTTCCAGCTTCAACATCGCGTGCGTGTCACTTCATTATTTAGGCACTTTTTATTCATTTTGTCATTTGTTTTAATTTCATCCGTTCAAGTCCCTATCAATTGGGTTGAAATAAAAAATACAGTTTTTAGTTAATTTTGAGCGAGCTCTTTCACTTACTTCCACCATCCTATGCACAGAAAGAAAATAAGGACACCAAGGGTGAAGCGTGGAGAAAACACACAGAAAGGATCGGTTGCCCTCAACAGTAACACCAGCGTTCCTCTTGCTAATACAAATTACCATTAGCGTTGAGGAACAAGCAACAATCGATTCGTGCGTCGATGAAGTGCCATTGTGAGTCTCGAACAGTGGCGCTTTTTTTTTACGCCGTCGTGCTATGGTTTGGTATCACTTATCATGTCCTTGCTGTATCCGCGACACCGTCTGCGGTATAACGGTTAAACTTTTGGGGATCTTCGGCAAAATTGGTATGGGCGTGCTCGTAGCCGTCGGCGCTGATCCACTCGTGCTTGTCGTCTTGGTCGTCACTTGAATCGATTTGGGCAGGTTCAGCGTGTGGATATAATTTTGCGTAGGAGTGTTTTCATTTGCCAATCTATCGCAAACTAAAGGCTCAAAGTCACTACGACTGCGCTGGGCGTACATCTCTTGCTGCATACGCAGGTGCTTCTGAAACTGCGACTGCTGATGCTGCTGGGCGAGCAGCTGTTGGGCTTTCTGAATATACACAGAGCTAGGTTTACCGTACGAGCCTTGACCTGTGCTACCTGTAAGTCAAAATGTATATTTAGTATTGATAGTTACACAACTTCAATAAGACCTGTTTATACGCAAACACCCACCTGAGCTAGAAGAAAGATTCGACCTGCTCTGCTTGACATTCATTATCTGCTTCTGTCTTTTGAGGTTTTGGTACTTCCTGAAGTCAGGCTCCGAGAGCTGAATCATTTTACCGCTCAACGGCACTGTATTACTTCCACCGTGTACTTTCTGTATGGGTATCGTTTCTTTTCTCTTGGCACTTCCATTCACATCACTCCCACTTGCGTTTGGTCGCTGCAAGTTTGATGGTGGCTTTTTGGTGATCGAAACCATAGGTGTGAGCTTCAATACTTTCGATGATGAATGCTCAAGTTTAGATAATTGTGCTGGTATGTTGGCAATACTCGAACTCGAAGAACTTGTGCTCAAGTGTTGTGGAACGTAAGAACGATTCTCGAGTATGTAACCACCACTCAGGCGCCGTGAGTTGTTGAGATCAACAGTTGGATCAACCGACATCGGTTCGTCCATTTTCTCTGGGCCTTCATAGGAGATGAGACGATTCTGAACCGAAGTGGAATAATTTATCGCGTTTCTTGAAGCATTTGGGGCAAGAATCAAATCGCCAGACCTGTAGTATTTTTCCAAAAGAACAAGATGCCGTAAAAAGCTACTCATGTTGCCGTAAGGCCTCTGTAGTTCTTGCCACAGCAGCTTTGTATCCCTGTCGTACTGAACAACTGTCATGCACTTCTCCCAACCTTGCGGTGTGACCTCTCTGACGTTATTGAATTCAACGCCAGCTTGCAAATTCATTTCTTCTTCACCGGGGAACAAGGTGCGCACACTTATAGAAGGGTTGTTGCCGAGTCGTTGGACAACAGGGGTAATATCGTTGCTTGGGACGTCTAAGCGTGATTTCTTTGGCAGAACAGTTAGCGTGACCTCCTTATCCTTCGTGAGGATTTGCATGACGTCGCTTGGGTTTTGGTGTATCAGAGTCGGGCCTAGAGTGTCAAGGTTCTTGCGTTTCTTCAACTTTTCGATAGCTCCCTCGATACTCATGCACCGCGACTCTGTATTGGCTATGGACGAGATCACAACAGAGCCTTCCTCCTTTATCGTCACTTCAGGTTCAATAACATCATGATGAGGCGGCTCTGGCGTTGATTTGTCGGAAGCTGAGGTTGACAAAGTCTCGATGCGATCAATCGGTGACTTTGAACGCTTACGGTTTGGCTTGAATTTTTTATTAGTAATGGTGATCGATAGCCTGTCTGGTCTGTCCTTTCTCTTCCTGTCCGATTGATTCACAGACAATTCCTGCTCGCCCTCTTCCTCGCTCACGCATCCACCTGTATAACGATTTCCAATCCTCTCACCGTAATTTTCTAAGTAATGCCTGTTATTCTCGCTTAGAGAGTCCAACGGTTGGAGTATCAGCTTCATGAAAAACTTGCACAGTTTGCAGTAAAACGAATCTGGATAGATGACCGTTGGAATTCCCATTTCCCAGATGCGTGGATGCAGCTCTTTGATCGTTGACTCGGTTAATGGTAAAAAGAAATAACTGTTTCGCGGAAGACGGCGCTGGCACAATACGCACTTGAGAAAACACGCAATTTCATTGTAATGAGACTCACAAAAAGGTACCAAATTGTGCTGTGCAGCCTTCCAATCTATGTTGACCTTCCATTTCTAATGAGAAAAAAAAGGGTTAAAATTTCAGGCTTTGCATGCTTATGAAATACGATTATCCAATGATTCATAAGTGTAACTTACAATGTCTTCATCTCTCCTGTCAACTTCATCTTCTTTTTTGTCTTTAACTTTGTCAAGGTAAGACCTTTCCATTAAATGTCTTTTAATTTTAACGAGCCAACGGCGCTTTACATGACTTTTTACTGGTGCGTTGCATTCCTGAACTATACACTTTGTTTCTTGGAAGTGAGTATTTCTGCGTGGCAGCTTCATCAGCAGAGTCGTCGGGCTTGCATTTGCCTTGAAAGTTACAAGTTTTTCCCTTTTATAAGATACTTGTATATTTTCAAAAGCTCATAATGAAATTAGTCAGTAGTTAAATTACCTTCCGGTCGATGTGTCGATAGCAAGCATCGCAAAGACATGAGTCTGGAGTGATGTGAGTCTCAATGACGAGAATTTTGTTCCTACGTTCGTCAGACTTCATCTGAGCCAGGTGCATAGGCGTATCCAAAGAGCCAAATTTCCCATAACAATAACAACAATTGTCAGAGCACAACCGTTCTGGATGAATAGAAAAGGACGAGGACTTTTCAGGGATAACCAATGACTGGCGATCTTTTAACGGTGCTTCCTCGTTTTCATCAGCGTTGTCTGAAAAAAAAAGAAAATTTCTTGATCAAGAAAAATAAAAATTGTCTACAGACTGCATTAGTTGTTTGCAAAAAGCATGTAAAGCTTTTGAATTTTGTTAATGTTTGAATAAAAAAAAAATTACTGTTTACTTTGTTAAACGAGGATTAGTGTGTATGCTTTGGCAAAAATTAAATGAACAGTGTAAATGGGAAGCTTCAAGAGTTAGAGATAGGTTTAGATAATAAATGTGGTTATGCCCGCAACCAAGATTACCGCTAGAGTGTCTGGGATTAGTAGGTAACTTTCGATTCGCACCAGAACTGCTCTCTCCCAAACCAGTGGATTCCGTCTGTAAAAAGGACAACAAATTAATGTAACAAAGTCGCTTAAATATTCTCATCGCATCAATCAATTGAAATTAAAATACCCACCTCCTTCTGGATGGTATATTGGTAGAACTCGGAGGACTCCTCGCCGTCCACGCGTCCTTGCTTATTAAAAACCATCTTGATGGGCGACCTCGGTCTCTTTTTGCTCTCTTTCTCCTTCTGCAATCGTATGACAGTTTTGAGCGATCCAGACGACTGCTGTTTCGGAGACTCGCTCTTGACATCCACGCCCTTTTTAGCTTCTCTCTCCTTCACCCTTTCCCACGATTCTAGACCCAACTGTCTTAAAACAGCCTCTTTCTTTGCACGATCTTCTGGAGACTCTTGAATTGGTTCGGCACTACTCGACGAATCACCGTCCGTTGATCCTTCGTCTGTATTTACAGCCTCTGAACACGCGATAGCCACATCTTCAGCAGTTATCGCAGATGACGAGGCTAAGTCGTTTTCGGATTTGCTTCGATTCTTGGCATCCGCGTGCTTTTGCTCCCCAGAGTCGGCGTTCGCTGATACCACTCGCAGACTGTCGTTACATTGAAGGTAAGAGGGAGGCCTTCGATTGTTCTCATTGATTTTGGCTACCTCGTTGTCGAGCAATGAGTCCTCCTTGTTTTGATGTGAGTCAGTTTTCTTAGGTTCTTGCTTTTTCAAACTGCGTTTGGATTTTGTGACGACTGGCGTTCGTTTAACTTCGCGGCTACGGCGCGTACGAATTATTGGCTCCTGAGGTTGATCTTTGGGTTCTTCTTTAATAACGACATCGCTTGGCAAGCTATCGTTTTCTACCTTTTGGCTGGGGATAAAAATAAGAGACGCGTAAGTGTTGACGGTTGCTTATCTGAAAAGCATAAGTATGATACTGTGGAAAAGATTTTTAATTGTTACCTATTTTTGACGGAATCAACGTTGCTTTGTGTATTGTTAGAAGGCACTTCGGCAGAGGTGGCAGCATCTTCGGACTTTTTATCAGACTTATCGTGAGCAGTAGGAACTGGTTTCGTGATCTCGACCTTTTTCTGCTTGTCGCCTCTCGTTCTGAGCGACCGCCGAGTTGTCTCCCTTTGCTCCTCGACTTTTCCAGTTTCCACCGACTTTGAAGCCTTGGTCGCCTTACTTTCGGACTTTGCATCCGAATCGGCATCGGTTTTCCCCGATCCTGGAGTCTCTCGAACACCAACATTTGTTGACTCAACCGCAACGCCGTCGACCTTTTGTACGTCACTCGAGCGTTCAGTTGTGCTCCCTTGATCACAGCCTTCTTTGTTAGCGTTAGTTTGTGGTTGACAGCTTGTCGGCTCTTTTTTCGCGGCTTCACTCACGGATTCGAAAACGGAATCATCGATCACCAGTCGCATCTCGTCGGACGACATCTCGTTCTCATCGATTTCAATCAGCTTCACCTTAACTTTCTGGTTTTCACCGTCATCTGCTTCGACAAGACGCTCGACTTCTCGAGATAAACTTTCAAGTGTTTCTCCGCACTTATTCTTGTTCTCATTAAGATCGGCGATCATTTTTTCCGATGAAGCATTAGATTTTGTTTTGACGAGCGGCTCTGTGCTATTGGCTGCTTCCGTTGGTTCTTTCATCGCGGGAACAGCAGTCTTATCCTCTATGTTGTGACCCTCGTTAGTCTGAAAATAAGAAATCAAAGTTTAATGTTTAGAAATACATGAATGACATAACAGAGCTCGTCAGATATCACACGTAAACCCAAACACTCACTATTTCGCTATCAAGGGTATTATTTGACGCCTCAATTATCGTGGTTTCGGCCACTTCCTCCTTCTCCTTCTCAGCCTCGGTCGCTTCCTCCTTGGGCTCTTTGCACAAGCGTTGTTTCTTGATATCCGACGAGCCACTTTTACCCGATCTCGGCGATTTTCGCTTTATGCAGATCGTTGCCTTTTTCGTGCTCTCGGGCTGCTGTTGTTGCTTGTCTTTTTCCAAATTGTCACAGCTCTCGGCGCTGGAGTCCTTATCGGTCTGCTTCTTTTCGACTTCAGCCGGCTCGGCGACAGCTACGATTACAGCGGCAGCTACGGTAACAGCAGCTACAGTCGACGTTGTCGCATCGACGAGTGGCTTGTCGTTGTCCTCCGAAGGCTTAGAGTCGACCGACTCAATGTCCCCCATGACTAGTTTCTCGATTTCTTTGGCAGTGTCGGCCACTCTCGGCACCGAATTTTCCGTGTCCTCGGAGTTCAACTCTTTGTTCGTCAAACTCGGTCCGATACCCAAATCTTATATGAAAAGAAAAAAATGCATTTATCAATATCGATATTCATACATATGCTTCGTGTACATTTTATCCATGCGCGTACTCTCTCGTGTGTCACGTAAGTATATGAAAGTAACACAGCGCTTTCAATTCATTACACATGCCCCGAGGACTTCCGACCGATGTGTATTTAATCAAATAAATAATGGACTTGCGAGACAAACTTTCCGATGATTAAATCAAGACTCTTTGAATGACGATGAAAAAGGACAAGGACTGGAACTAACGTGTTTCCTGTATGGTTTCGATAACTCAACTGGATTTAGACTGCACATGGATACACCTTTTTGACGCCGTTCTTACTATACTGGTCGACACTGGGACTGACGATGCTTTAGTCATTAAAATTGTTTTCACAATCTACAGCCGAACATACTACTTTAATGTTTTTTTCAAAGTATTTCTTTATTCGTTTATCTACTTAAAACTTTTACTAATTAATTCCTAGAAAATTCTTTAGCACGAAACTGACTCATTCTATGGCTCAATGTAAAATTTGGTGAGATAAGGTGCCTACGTTTTTTTAAACTACCTTCACGTAAATTAACTATTGTACTTTACGAAGCTTGCACATTTTCTGAAAAAAATGACGTAAGTTATTCAAGGGTCTTACAAACCAAAGAAATGCCGTTACGTTAAACTGAAAAGTTTTGTGTTTATCCAAGAAGAAAAGTTCGGCTACAATAGATTTAACGTTTAAGTATGAGACATCCATATCACACCAGGATTTAGATTGGTTGTCAAGAGAAATAACAAATATTTATTGGGATGTACATGCGTTTCGTGGCGATTAATTTAGAAATACGAGAACTCGAGTCGAGGTAAAACTACTGAAAATGAATCACCCCCAATTTGAATATCAATAAACGAGTCACTAACCTCTGTTATTAGCGGCGTTATCCTCGGTATCCTCGTCCAATCTCGATTGGGTTGAATCATTGCTTAGGGACGCGACTACCTCCTCAACTTTCACGTCAAAGTTCTTGGCAAGGAGAACCGGAGTTTTGTTCTCGGGTTTGAAGATCACCTTACTCTCAATGGCCTTGCTGATGTTGAACTTGATCTGACTGACCATGTCATCTAGATCCTTGCCACTCAACTTTTCGTTGCAGAGCGGGTTACGCCGCACGTCGATGTTCAGGCTGCTCCTGCGACCCTTGAGTGTGGCGTTGTTTTGGGCTGCAGAACTGCTCCTCACTTCGGTCAACTTGGTGTGAGTTCGCTCTTTTTTCACCAAGTCCATATCGACTATCTTGTTACTGGCGATGATCGTGGGTTTTATGTCCTCACCCGTTTCGCTGCTGCTATCTGAGTTTCGAGCTTTCGTCTTGGAACGTAACGTCGGACCCATCTCGGCGTTAGTCGTAGCCAAGCTGTTCTCGTCGAAACCATTATTGTTCGTTTCGTGCTCGGAGCTCTCGCTGCCACAGTGATTGTTCGTCGCCAAAAAGTTTTCGTCCTCGCTCGCTTGAGCTTCGACCTTGACGAACACCCCCTCGACATCGAGATTTACCGGCTTCGATTCCAGGCCACTTTCTACACCTGCTTCCGACATATTGATTCTCTTGTGGGCTGAGTCTGTTGGCGAAAAAGGACAAAACACTGTTGTGCAATCGTTTGAAATTGAAAAATTTTATCGTTTTAAAATTAAAAAAAAAAAAAAGAAGAAAGAAAAAAATCGACGAAAATTTCAAATAAAACTGAGTTGAAAAATCAAAGTTTAGATTATGGTACCTGTTTCAACTTTAACCGTAGTCTGGAGGAGCTTGCCGTTTCTCAGACTCCGTTTGGCAATAGTAGCGTTCCTCGCGTTTTTCTTCCCCTCAGACTCTTCGACCTTGATATGTGCGACGTTGGGTTCAACCAGCATCGAGGAAGCTATGACCTCCTCAATCGTATCGTTGATAGAAAAGACGTTGTCGTCCCACACTTGCTCCTCGCGTCTCACCTCGTCTTCACTGTCCGACTTGATCTCCTGCTTAATCTGTATGATTTCCGACTCCTTCTTAATCTGTTCCAAAATATTTTTCTGCTTGCGCGGTGTCACTGCCTTTACGCTTTTTTTCCCCTTCTGCGAGATATTCAAGACTCTCCTGCTTAATTTCGGACTGGTCTGATCCTCGCTTCGGTGCACCTCGGCCTTAACCAGCGTCTTATTCTTCTTGGTAGTTTTGCACTCTTAAAAAGGTTTTCAACTTTAAAGCTCAGTTTTTTTTTATGGCAATGAACGTGTAAAAGTGATTTTTTTATCTCGATTGTAGAGAAAAAAAAAAAATCAAAACTCAAACGAAAAAGAGAAAATGTATGAAAAAATTCAGAATACAGTTTTTGAGAAGAAAAAAAAAGTTGACAAATCCAACACAACTCACTGTACTTGGTCTCCTCGATGGCGTCAACGAGCGCGTTATTATTCCTCCTCCTGCCTTTGAGGCCACCGATTTTAGCTTCGATGGCAGCAATGCGCTTAAGTCCAGCCTTGGTGATGACCTGCTGTTGCTTCTGCTTGACCTTGATAAGCGTCTTCCTGGCCCTTTGCTTCCTCTTGAGGGCCGTCTGCAGAGCCGCGCGTTTTCGCGGCAAACTGGCCGCTTCGATTTTCACTGGCAACTGGCTGCTCGTGGCTACCACCTCAAAGATACTATCGCGGGGGGCTGCTACCTGGTGGCTGTTACCACTACCACCACGTAAGCTTTGATTCGTGACGACGAGCTGCTGTGACGACAATCTGAGCTGGGCCGCTGTTAGCTTTCTGACGCGATTGTTGCCCGTGGGAGTGGAGCTTTCCGTTGCTGCTGTTGGCGAGAAGCTGTTACCAGTGCTACTATCATTATTAGCCTTCTGTCTTGATTTCGAAGGCGCTAGGGCTCGCTTCTCCCTTGATGCCATCTCACTTCCACCCACATTGGGCTCCTGCAACAGATGGAAGAAAAAAAGGGCGATTTTATTTTTTAGTTCCGAGATGAGTTTTATCTACAGTATTTTGGTGCTTTTAATCAGTTCAGTATGGTCGTATAAAACAACACTTGCGGGGGTACAAAGCTCACGTGATTGCTGCAGGGGAGTAAGCTGCGGACGTAGTGAACAAGCGGTAAAAACTATAATGCAACACACCTTGGTCGACAAACTCGACGATTAGCTACTATTGAAAAAAAAGAAAAAAAAAAAAATGGTTTTCCTTTGAAGAATAACTTAATGCAACTATTGATGGTGTGACAAAACAAAAAACATTTAAAAAATGGTTGTACATCGAAAACGTTGTGGTGAAATATGTTTTCCTACACAAAAATTAATCGATACGAACAACATGTTACAAAAAATGGTAAAAGCTTTGTATAAGCTGTACGAAAACTAACATGTAAAATTTCATAATCCATGTGATCTGTGTTTTTCAGGTCCTACTATACAATTTTTCATGCATTCGCGTGACACAAGACAATTTCCGATTGGCTAAGATATTAGAGACAAAATCGATTAAAATAGACGTAAAAAAATGCATGGTCATATCAAGTTTTTAGTTATGCAAATTATCAACTTACGGCAATTAATCGTTACGTTTGAAAAATTGAATAGAAATTGCAAATATCTGCCTGCACGGCGCTGAAGAAGTTCGATCTATTATGTTTGTTTATGAAACAATTTAAGGAAATTTTTATGGTCTCTACAAAGATTTAATGTATCAGCGATGTAACGCTTCGATGTAGTAACGTACTCATAGCTTTTGGATTGCCTTTAAATAACTAAAAAAATTTTATTTTATTCTTGTTCAATTATAGCATTTGTGCATGAAAAATTCAGCACAGAAAAATCGATGAAAGTAGAGAACTTGTGAGTATAAGTTAGCACAAGTGCTTACACCCTTGATGTATTGATCTTTTTTCAACTTATAAAAAAAAAAAATAAAAAAAAAATTAGCTCCATACAATATTTTAGATAAATTATACCATTTTCCAAAATGATCAATAAAAGCTTTTGAACATTATATGCATCATTTTTGAACATTAGAACATTAGATACATGCAAAATCTTACTGTAATTTTAAAAATACTTAGACATTTTACTCAAAAACACTATTTGTTGTGGTAGGATGATAAAATCCAAGTGATTGGATGATAAAAACAAAAGAAAAAAGCAATTGAAATCATGACGTACTGTCATTTCGTTTTGACGAAAAGGGCATGCACAATGGTGTAAATTTATTCTATTAGCGAAAATGTACGAGTTACAGTGGAAATTAAAAGTGTAGTCATAATTATAAAAATTAAATGAAAATACAAATTTTTAATATAAAGTAAAATGAATGATTGTAAACATAAAATAATGCAAATTTAACAAACAAACAAAAAGTACACATTTTATTTCACATGCATGTAGCCTAAGACTAATAAACATTTACTTTGTACGTTAATGGGAATTAATTGCTCCATTTTGTGTATTGTCTCGACAAGGCAAAATGCACAGCAGACACCTTCCCATCATTCCTCAACAACCTGATGTAAAGAATTCATCTCTCATCTGCTGCATAATGTTTCTCCGTTGTCCAATATTTCTACTATATCTGACCTAAAAACAGTTCTGGTTTTTCATTTTCATAATCATCATGATTCTTGGGTAGTAGTTTGTTGACTTTTAAAAAAAAAGTGGGTAACTTGTTTCAAATTCCTAATTTTGTTATTCAACTTTGCTAATAGTAGGTAACAAACTTGTAATAATCGATTTTTAGTAGCAAAAGCTAACTGAGTTAACTCTAATTTTCATCAAGTGCATACTTATGACTTAAAAATTAAGTAAAACTATATATAACTTATTTTAATGAATCTACTAGATATTGAGAGTCAACATAGATACTTTTGCTACAACTTCCAATCCCTGATAAAGCAACATCCTTTATCTCATAAAATTGTATAATTTAATTTAAAAACATTCAAGTTGAACGAAAACAACGTAAAATTAAAGTTATTGAAAAAAATGGATTTAGTACACGATTTTTACGAGATCTAATATGATTTCAATGAAACTAAATCAACATTATTAATGGTACTCGAATATAGGGCAGTAATATTGAATTTAGTTTTCAAGGATCTCCATTTCATGCCTGAGTCACCTACTCCTATGGTTGAACAGGACAATATGCTTAATTTTTATGTATCAAAACTTAAAACCACATTTTTATACAATTTAATTGCACATAATGATCACAAGTAAAAAAATATATGTTGTCAATATTTCTCTATGAAATAAGTAAAAATTCTGGTTTTTCAGAAAATTTTAAGTGAGCTCCAATTCAAGAATTAGTACTGTGGTAACACAAGTACTGAACAATCACACCAATACTCAAAACCAGCTCCTAATAAGGCTCGAGTTACAACTGTCAACAGAAAGCTTTTTTCACCAACTTAACCATGAGTAAAAGAAACAAAGATAAACTGAAGATCAATTGGAAAAAGTCAAAGCTATGCGTACAGTGTCACGAGAAAGCTGGAGAAAGAAAAACAGCAGTTACGACTCCCTCGACTCCAAAATTCCAAGAAAACGTCACTGCCAGTGCATCATGTGTGGCATGCACTTGAGGGGTGGAGTTTGAAGTAGCTGCATGCAAAAAAAGGGTTGCTGAAGGGTGAGATCAATTGGTTATCCCACATGAAAAGTCAAACCACTCGAGTTACTGGTACTCAAGCACAAAGTACTTATAAAGTATAGAGTACAAGCAAGTACAACAACTCACACAGAATATGAGGAGGAGGCGGATACTCGTACACGCGCGCACACTACATACACTTTTTGTATTTTATTGTATTTTTTTTTTCCCCGAGATAGGTACTTATGCTCAGTCCCCGACTGCTGCTGCGTTCACTTCCTCCGAGAAGGAAAAAAAAAGTCACACGACAACGACGACTTACGCCTCTCCCTCCGCCACAACAGAACTTGGCAGTAGATCCGTGTATAAGTATTTCCGGCGAGTGCCAAGCCGGCCCAGCTCGGATCTCTGTTAAAGTCGTTCTGTCGGCTAGCCCTTAGTCAAAACTCACTGCACAAACTGGAAATTCAGCCGTAAGGACGCCAACGAGGACGTTTTAGTACGAGGATAAACAAAAGGTCGGGAGTAACGCTCAGTCGCTGCACAATTTCGCGGTCGAGTGCCGCCACTCGCCCGCGCCCGTGAGCAATAAGGAGAGAAAGAGAGAACACCAGCAGCAGAGAGCAGTTAGCGTCGTCGTCGTCTCGTTAAGTATGTACACCAAGTAGCAGAGTTAGTTAGCCAGTGCTCTAGCTCTTTTCCCAACGGTGTATCTCCATCTCTGTCTCCCTCGACATCACTATCACTCTATACCTGTACACAGTAGCGCAGCGCAATATTATACCTTATACACATAAGCTACATAGACATTCCTGACCCAGCTTCTGAGGGTTCTGTGGTTTTATATGTATAGTTTGGCAAGTATACGCCAGATGTAGTGTATCTCTTTCTCTCTCTCGTATGTAACAACATGTTATAAGTACGGTAAAGTACCCCAAGAAAGTGCGAAATTTCATAAGTACTGACCCATCGTCAAACCCCCCCCCCCAAGAAAACCCCATCGGCACTGATCGCGTCATGGTCCGACTGGACCGCTATATATACACTGCAATGTACGCCACACACACTCCTACAACGCGAACCCTTTACTTCATAGGGTGTCTCAAAACATTGAGGGCCAGACAAGGGAAAGAAAGAGAGAGAGAGAGAGAGGCACAGCAGCAGACAGGGGCGTTACATACATTATACGTCACGCGTACCATGGACAGACACATTAACGCGCTTAAAAAGGAGAGGCACACGATTATAACTTAAGTAATATAACTAATGAATGGAAAATAAAAAGGACAAAAAGAGTAGTAAAAAAAAAAACTCACGGCTGTGTGGCTAAAATCCGGTGCGACACGAGCGAGAGAGGAGCAAGTATATCGAAGCTCATAGGTGCGTGATTGTGTATATATATATATATATATATAAGCGTGTGTGGGCCGTGCGAGCGCGCGCACGGGAGAGACGGAGCAGAAGAAGAGAGCGTCGGCGACGACGTTCCACCGAGAGTTCCTCTTTCAACGTTTGTACTCTCTCTCCGTTGATATATCCAGCAGTAGGTCGGTTGGCTTCCGTTTGAATACGCACACACGCTCGGCAAAGAGAGAGCGCGGCTTTCTCCTCTCCTCCACCTCTTTTGCTGGGCTCAGCTGTAGCGTATAATACGTAAAGAGCCGCAGCCAACTCTCGGCCCCGCTAGCCTAGAGCACACCAACGTCGGCAGCACACGGAGTTGCGTTGCGAACAAGCCAACCTCGCTCGTCCGCTTCTCTCCACCACCTCCCTCCTACTCCTCCTCGTTTGTGGGTATATCTGTACACACACACACACTACGAAGCTCAAAGGGGGGGGGGCCCGCAATATATATATAAAGCAAAGCAAAAAGGAGAGAAGAGAAAAAGAGGGGCCCTCTTCTCTCTTCTTTTCTATCTCTCTACTGCGCGGCTACTACACACTGGCCTCTCTCTCTCTGTTTTCTGTTCTGTTCTCAGAAATGGATAAAGAGTACAATAATGTGTGCTGCGCGCGCACACGATTATTCTATATGGACGGACGGGACACGGGCGCCGTTCTCCGCATGCACGCACGCATAGGGTGGTTTTTCGCGCTGCACCCGCAGCCGGGGCGAGAAAACAATGTCTACAGCTTACCTACTTGCTCACGCTCACACACACGCTCACACACACACACACACGCACACACCCCACAAGCAAACGTGGTGCAGCAACGTGCGACTATCTATCTACCTTATCTTATACACCTACCGTGTACACGGTATGCGGTGTCGCTGACGAGAGAGAGAGAGAGAATAAGTGTATGTGTAAACGTACAGTCAGCCCTTGATATT